ACCAAGGTCAGCAATCATCACCATCTCATCCATTTCAGAGGCATCCACTTACATCCTATACCACCACACACACCAAGGTCAGCAATCATCACCATCTCATCCACTTCAGAGGCATCCATTTACATGCTACACCACCACACACACCAAGGTCAGCAATCATCACCATCTCATCCAATTCAAAGGCATCCACTTACATCCTATACCACCACATACACCAGGGTCAGCAATCATCACCATCTGATCCATTTCAGAGGCATCCACTTACACCCTATACCATTACACACGCGAAGGTCAGCGGGTTTTATTAGGCCATAGCCCATTCGCAATACCTCCAACGTATGATTAACGTAAGAGGGACCTTCCGAGACTTAGCTAAACATACTTTCTATTTATTGTGTTAGATCGAAAACCTGACGCCTTAGCAACAGCAGCGTAATATGGATCTTACCTCAAAATTGTCATGAATCCAGCAAGGGCGTTCTCTAAACGCACATGCCCCCATTTTGAACACTGGACTCTAGTGAACTTTATAAGCTCAAGTGCAATGGGAAATCTGGCCGGGTTTGAATCTCTCTGCTTACGAGGTAAAATTGGGCACCATTACAATTAAGCGTCGAGGAGGAAGAAAAAGGCGGGGTTGTGCCCGCAGATGGATGGATGGATGGAACTTATTTCGCCCGGAGGCACGGAGCCTAAAGGGCCTTGGCGCGCTAACTACATTCGATTCGTTGACATTCGGTCATCAACTTGTCCAGGCCTCTGCTCTTTTCTTTTTTTCTCACGCCACCTGTTGCCAAAAGCTATCTGATGGATTCGTCAGACCCTCTACGTCAACCCAACTCTATATCGACGAAGTCGAGAACAGACAGCTCATATTGAGCCCCGATCAGGCCGACCTTCCGCCGACAGCAACCCCGACCCTGGATCACATGCTTACCTTCCTCTACATAGCGTACTCCATGATGGGGCTGCTCTACGAGTAATTCCTACCTTCAAGAACACATGCAGGCGATTGTGTACTCTCCATGCACAAGTGGAGAGTACGCATCGTGGTTGGGTAAATGCCGCCATTGGAGGCGGTGTCAAAGGTTCTTAGCCGCTTCGGAAGGCTCGCAGACAGTTCTTCATCTTGGTAA